CGCAGGAAATGAAGTTGTTCCTAACTTGTACATCTTTTGGGATAAACCTTATTGCTTTTTTTTTGTTGATGCAGTGAAACAGGAGCACAGATCTTCATAATAAATTTTTTTAAAATTTTTAAATTTCTTTTGAAAATTTTTAAATTTTTTTTTCAATTTGTGCCTAAATAAGGTACAAATTAGAGCCTTTCATACCACGCTTTCTTACCTTTTTCTCTCTTCCTCCCCCCCCCCTAGACTCACATACCCCCTTCACCTGGGGAGATCCCGGCTCCCCCTATCGCACCTATGCACCTGAGGCAGACGCCAAGTTCAGAATCTTGTCATCTGGTGTCCTGGCTGCATACAATTCCGAACAGCCGCACCACATAAACTTGACGCATTCGCAATGGCTTGGTTACAAAGAGTTACGTGATTTGATCAAGACCGATACTGTGCGCATTTCTGTAAGTGACAAAGGAGGGGAGTTTGTGATTACCTCAAGATCTAGATCGCGAAATTACACAGCTCCACCTGAATGACGCAACGATTTATCGCCCCGTCACCGAATAAGAGTTTGTGTCTATAAACGACCCAATCACATTTGGATGAGCGTTGGAAAAACAGCTGGTTTGAGCGAGAGCTTTCTGTGCAGATTGAAGTTGGACACACCAAATTGCCCCGTATTTTACAGCCTCATTAAGATGCACAAGCTTGCTGAAACCGATAATACGCGCTTGATGGCACCCGGACAGTTTAAAAAAAGACCTATCATCAGCTGTGTTAGAGGGCCAACCGACAGACTTTCTTGGTTTTTAAATAACATCGTATGTCAGCTGCTGGCCAAGATACCGTCCCACTTATCGAATACTAACCAATTTCTCGAACGTCTACATAACGCTAAGTTCAACAGCGGATGCGTAACTGAGTCATTTGATGTGGTATCGCTGTATACCAATGTTCAAATTGAAATTTAAATTGTACGTTTAAGTAAGGAAGCCAGCCGTCAGCGGGTTGTTCACGTGTAAATCTTATGTACTGCGACTGTTGGTTCAACAAGCGAAAACACTCGTCCATTTCGGACTGTGTAGATGTTATTACACAACAGTCATCTATGTACCGGCAATACATAAGAGGAAGTCTCGACAACACCGGACTCTCGATTTTACTCATAAAACATATTGCGAGGGCCGGCGCAAGTCTCTGTCCCATCGCGAGACCTCTCAGTTGGGTGAAGTATGATCCTGACCATCTAAAAATGTTACAGCTCAAACACTCCTTGATCAGTATCATAATATACTTCTTATTCAGTCCGAAAGTCTGGATGTTCTCACCAAAACTATCCAACTTTCAGATAACGCTTTTAATGCGTCGTCATTTTGAACATTGGTATACAGCGATACCACATCAAATGACTCAGTCACGCATCCGCTGTTGAACTTAGCGTTATGTAGACGTTCGAGAAATTGGTTAGTATTCGATAAGTGGGACGGTATCTTGGCCAGCAGCTGACATACGATGTTATTTAAAAACCAAGAAAGTCTGTCGGTTGGCCCTCCAACACAGCTGATGATAGGTCTTATTTTAAACTGTCCGGGTGCCATCAAGCGCGTATTATCGGTTTCAGCAAGCTTGTGCGTCTTGATGAGGCTGTAAAATACGGGGCAATTTGGTGTATCCAACTTCAATCTGCACAGAAAGCTCTCGCTCAAACCAGCTGTTTTTCCAACGCTCATCCAAATGTGATTGGGTCGTTTATACTGTGACACAAACTCTTATTCGGTGACGGGGCGATAAATCGTTTCGTCATTCAGGTGGAGCTGTGTAATTTCGCGATCTAGATCTTGAGGTAATCACAAACTCCCCTCCTTTGTCACTTACAGAAATGCGCACAGTATCGGTCTTGATCAAATCACGTAACTCTTTGTAACCAAGCCATTGCGAATGCGTCAAGTTTATGTGGTGCGGCTGTTCGGAATTGTATGCAGCCAGGACACCAGATGACAAGATTCTGAACATGGCGTCTGCCTCAGGTGTTGAAGGAGGCTCTCTAAAACAGGCTTGGAAACGGTATTGGTGGTAGCAGCTGCTTACTGAGTTGAACTTGCCCATTCTGTCGATCTCGGGTGTTGTTAAACTTGGCTCTCATTCTCAATTGATCTCGGAGTCTTTGAAGTCCAGCAACGAATTTGCGGAAAACTGACCCATTGACATTCTGAGCAATAGAGAATGAGGGGAATAACGTTAATGAGGGGAATGCGTTATTGAATAACGCTTATGAGTTTCTCAGCTTAGGCCCCTCATTCTCTATTGCTCAGAATGTCAATGGGTTAGTTTTCCGCAAAGTCGTTGCTGGACGAGAAGGAAAAGGCAGAATCGCGAAGTCTAGCATTGGATATCGCTCGGGCAAATGGTTATCTGATGCATCATGTGCACAGTAATTCATTTAAAACCCGCAACATCGTTCAATGCAAGGACAAAATACCTCTCTGTCTGCCCTTCATTTCAGATAAAGTTAGTGTTGCTATACGACACAGCATCAGGCGAGCGCGATTGAGCGACGATGTCATTTTAGTGGATATACCAAGCGATAACATCAAGAAGCGGCTTGTACGAAATAGGCTGTACGATAGATTTTGTATCTCAAAAGAGTGCATAATCTGTCCTTACGGTAAGGTCGGCGACTGTGGAAAAGTAGGAGTGATATATCAGCTTGAGTGTTTTGAATGCGGCGCCACCTACATTGGAGAAACAGGGAGGGCACTTGGTGTGAGAATAAAAGAATATTTAGCCAACAAAAGGCGTATCAGTCTCAATTCACCGTTAGGGAAGCATAGACATGAGGTGCACGGTGATAAAGACTACGAAGTTAAATGTTTGATTTTGGCTTGCGAGACCGACACTTCTGCGCGGAAAGCTCTCGAAGCATTCTGGATCTCGCAGAGAAATCCCATTATGAACAACCGAAAGGAGTGTTCAACGATTACAAATGACTTGATGCTGTTCATAGCGTTATGTGAGCTATAGTGTAGTGCTACTATGCATGATATCAAGCTGCCTAGTGTAGCTCATTGGCACTACTGACTCGTCAAAACGGGTTGCACAGTACCACCAGTGCACCATTGGTGAAGCGGCGCTGAGGTTGGTTCGTCTTCCTCTTTATGCGAATTTTTCTTGTGAAATCGGAGGGTGGAACGCAACTAGCCGGAGGGTGATAAGGCATGTGATGGGATAAGCATAAGATCTAAATCTCGCACCACTCTAGGCCTCTGAAGACGACGATAAGTCGAAACGTAAGGCCGCACTAATAAAAGAATTCACCAAAACTCGTACTGGCACAACAACATCAACATCATAATCATATGACATGCCGAGGTTTCAAGAAAAGAGGACAGCCAAACTACTAAGTTTTGCAACTGCCTTCGTAAGTTCTTTAAACACGGTAAACTCAGACTATGGCTATGTAGACCTCAATGTGTGCTACAAACATGTACAAACCATTTAATTTCTGAAAACGAAATATTACAAGCATTTTTCCAAAAGTAGTACATTTCGATATTTTATGAGGTCATAAACAAAAATGAAGCCGTTCGCGACCCATTACATGCCTAATGATCCAAAACTGTATGTGAATTATTGCTTGAGGCTGGCTCATTTGCCCTAGTGCGAAAGGAATAGAACTGAAAGACAAGTCGAGTTCTAGCGCTCTCACGAGTTGAAGTAGGCAAGGCTGGTGGGAACAACCATCAATGACCAAGGAGTGGGAACGTCAAAATCCGCGCAATTCACATAGCAAGATTATTGGATCTGCTGAACACGAATATCGTATTCGTCTGTTGAATTACATAAATTACAGTTTTTTCTATTGTTTAAGGTGAGACCCCATACCGTAAAACTACTACATCAATCTTACAAAAAAGCCCTTGGCGGAAAAGCAGCCGCATTAAGGCAACATATTGGCAAAATTCAAGTGCTTCATGTAAAATGAGAGGGAGATTATTTAGTGAGTTGCAAAACTTAGTTTCCGATCTAGAGACATTTTCGTTCAAAAAGATGTCAACTTATCGAATAAAAATTATTATTAAAAAAACTTCACTATGATTATTTCTTTTATCAAAATGTAGAGCAGTGATCATAGCTAGCCATTTCTAGCAAATTCAGATATGTGACTAAGGGAGCTTTGGTACAGGCGCGATTCAACTGGTGCAAATCATTGCTTTTAACGAAAGTTGATGTTTCACAATCAGAAATCACTCGTTTTAGCAAATATTTGACTATCCCAGAAATTTTCTCAAAATATAGGAAAGCACACTTCAGATATAGACTTGGAAATCTGCTTTAGCATCTTCTGCTTTTGTTTTGCTTCCGAAAAATGTTACGTTCTATACGAATCGTTCCGTAATTCACGCATTGCATGTAAACTGTCTAGAGCTTGAGCATGAGGTTACTGAAACAATCATGCCTGAGGTATTCTAGATTGGATTTGACACTTCAATATTGGTTACTTACGGAGACACTCGGTCAATCATGAGATAAATAGCAAGACTTGAAGATACGATCAAGACATCAGTAGCTCATTGATTGACAAAAAACAATAAAGGAAGACAAGATTTTGTAAATAGTCAAGTCTCCTCAACTCTAACTTGTAGCTTATTATCAGGGCTACTTCTAGTAAACTAGTGAACATATCCTGAACCATAGCTAAAGCTATAGTGCAGAAAATTCGTCCGTCTAGCGATATGCGGAGTTAATGGTGCGCACCTCATTAACTCGTGCGTGCCTAAGCGCGCGCTATCCTAAAGTCCGCCACCCCGTTTTATAGTCTCCGTTATGTGCGTTGACCAATTCAGATTTGCAAGCATGTGCTTTCGACTTCGGCAAAAAACGTATTTTAATTAACGTACCGCTGCTTGTGTCCCTTTGATGATTTGTGGCATCTTGTATTGGAAACCGCCTCTTTTCAAACGCTAATAAGTCATATAAGTGATACCATTTTCTTCTAAATGTAGCACTAGAGCTCGTTTTGATTCGGTGGTGGGAATTATGCGGTCACTCAAGACAGAATCTAGCAGGAGAGTTGACCATAGACAAGATCTTTTACAGTGCAGCATGTTAACTGGCGTTGACTGGAGCATGTTGTAGTAAGGTTGAAAGCAGGAGCTAAGGATTGTAGGCTGGTTGAAGAGGGACGGTTTGCTTTCCTCTTCATACTCTAAGACTCGCATGAGATCCCGTGCGGGACCATTGCAGCCTTGATTGCTGGTTCATTTAAAAAATGCGAATGCGTGTGTCCAATGGGCCTGCCCTCTGAGGAACGAGAATGCGAGTGTCAGAAAGTTGCCAACTTTCTCATTCCAAACGTTCAAGTTTGCGAGCTGCAATGGAGCTAATTAGTAGTCATTATTCGCAGCAATTTTGTTGTTTTTCTGCGACCATTCAGCATTTCGAATAGCAAAGAAAAACCCACTGTCTTCACTCCCCTTTCTTTGAAATGAAGCTGCCACTGGGTTTTTTTCTGATGTCGCGGTCTCACTACAGATGCAAAGCATAACTCATAAGATCGCCAGAAGTCTCGTCTCGGGCCTCTTCTGATCATCTGAATCTGCTCAAATAAAAAGAAAAATATATGATTATCCGTTTAGTCCCTTCCCTTCGACGTATTTTTGCTTCTAGACCCTCGCCGGGACTCCTCAGCAAGGAAAGAGGGTCTAAATCAATTTGGATGAGAGATTTGTGAAAAAAATTTCAAAACTCATCTTGTATATTGTTAGTCTTCTTTCCAGGTCAATCTTCTATGCGTGGCGAAGAAAAAATGAACTAGTTCTAATATGTTTGTTTTCATTGCGTTATCATTTCAAAATATCATAACTTATAATAACGGGCTAAGGATGTTTACGTGACTTTGTGTGTCTGTCTGTCTGTGTGTGTGTGAGAGAGTGTGTCTGTTACGAAATTCGTGGAGCGTGTTCTCGCCAGCGTTCTAAGCCCAAATTTTGCATAGTGCATGCTACCTTCATGAAAGTTCAACATGCAAAAGCATGAGTACATTCCTTGAGTGGATCCCTCAGAAATTGCGCGCCAAACGGGTCCACCTGGCTTCTGTACCGCAAAATTCGGTCCGTATCACCACTTTTTGCAAAGTCGTGGATGTGTTTGGTAAGCAAATGTGCAAGCGATGGAGCTTAGCCCGAGAAATGGTCGAAAGTTTACTACATAACGAAAACGGCGCCAAAAAGAATTGGTTGTGTAAATGGTCAATTTGCCAAGATTCTAGCAACGCGTTTGAGAAGATTTTCGCACAGGGATGTAGCTCACGGCTACTATTACCTCTATGGCGACTACCGAGCCATGACAAATCCAAAAACCTGTTCAAATTTGCGTTTTCCTGCGAAAAGTTTCATCCACGCGAAATCACCGATCTCACGTGAAAAAAACTTTCTAAATGAGTTATTGTTTACATTTTATTCGTGGTAGGCGGCATAGCGCGGTGAGTTCCAGTGCCACGATTTTACGAGAATGAGTAAGGCACATAGATAGTAGAGCCAGTGCAAGCCTCTGCGAAGCAGAGGTGACGCACTGGTAATCATAGCTTATAATAACGGGCTAAGGATGTTTACGTGACTTTGTGTATGTGTCTGTCTGTCCGTTACGAAATTCGAGGAGCGTATTCCAGCCAACGTCCTGATCCCAATTTTTGCATGGCGCATGCGAGCAGCGTGAAAGTCCACTCTGCGAAAGCACAAGTGGATTCGCTGAGTGAATCCCTCAAAAATCGCGCGTCAAACGGATCCACTTTGCTTCTGGCCAGCTAAATTGGGCCTGTACCACCACTTTTTGCGAAGTTGTGGATTTTGACAAGCCAATGTGGAAGCCACGGAACTTAGCCCAAAAATCTGAACTAAAGTTGATTACTTTACGAAGTTGGCGCCAAAAAGAATTAGTTGCATAAATGTCTAATTTACCAAGAATTCAATTGACCATTTGAGGAGATTTCTGCACAGAGATGTAGCCCACGATGATTATTGCCCTTATTGCGACTACCAAGTCATAAGAAACCCAAAAACCGATTCAAATTTGCATCTATTCTTCTGAGAGAAGTTTCGTCCACGCGAAAATACCGACCTCACGCGAAAAGCTTTAGGAATGAGTAGTTGTTTACAAATCATTCGTGATAGTTTGCATAGCGCGGTGAGTTTCAGTGCCATTACTATGCGGACATGAGTAAGGCATACAGAGAGTAGGGCCAGTGCGAACATCTGCGAAGCAGAGATGACGCACCGGTTATTTATAACATCATTACTTATAATAACGGCTAAGGATGTTTACGTGACTTTGTGTGTGTGTGTGTGTGTGTGTGTGTGTGTGTGTGTGTGTGTGTGTGTGTGTGTGTGTGTGTGTGTGTGTGTGTGTGTGTGTGTGTGTGTGTGTGTGTGTTACGAAATTCGTAGAGCGTGTTCCAGCCAACCTCCTGGGCTGAAATTTTGCACAACGCATGCTACCCGCTTGAAAGTCCAAAACGCAAAAGCACGAGCAGATTCGTTAAGGGGATCCCTCAGAAACTGCGCGCCAAACGGATCCACTTTGCATTTGAGCCGCAAAATTGGGTCCGTAATTCTACTTTTTGCAGAGTCGTGGATGTTTATGCCATGTAAATGTGTAAGCCATGAACGTAGGCCCAAAAAAGTGATCAAAAGCCCATTACTTTACAAAAACGGCGCCAAAAAGTATTGGTTGCGTAAATGGTCATTTTGTCAAGCTTTTACCAGAACATTTGACGAGATTTTTGCACAAATATGTAGCTCACTGTGGCTGCTGTTCTTACTGCAACTGTCAAAACCATAGGAAAATCAAAAACCTATAAAAATTTGCGTTTGTTCTCCTACAAAAAGTCTCACCCACGCGAAATCACCGATTTCACATAGAAAAGCTTTTGGAATGAGTAGTTGTTTACATTTTGTCCGTGATAGTCGGCAATGCTCGGTGAGTTCCAATGCCATCATTATGCGAGAATAAGAAGGGCCGGCCTAGATAGTAGAGCGAGCCAGTGAGAGCCTCTGCGAAGCAAGGTGACGCACTGGTCATTCTATATTTTGGTTGTTCATAATTAATGTGTGCGTCTAATTTGCAAGATATGATGATTTTGATTTGAAATTTTTTAATTTGTAGTCGAATACAATACCGCTCACAGAATGTGCGAAATTTCGTGAATGTCGCGGAATTCCGGGAATTCGGTTCGCGAGATTCCTGGAATTTCGCGAAAATCATGTAAATCACGCAAATTACGCAGGGCCATAACTTCTTTCCGAATGAATATATTCAAAATCCGAAAACAGCATTGTATTCAGCTCGTCAAGGCGAATCTTTTACTACAAGGTGTCCCAAAAAATGTGCACACTGTTTGATTGTAAATAACTCTTTTGTGTTGAAGTATTTCGAGAAGCTTTAGGTACCATTTTGTAGAGCGAGGTTCAACTTAGATTTACAGCGTAGAGCGGATCGCCATCTCTCATTCTTATTGTAGGATTACGGTAGAAACTTTAAAGAGGGTTTTGAGCCATGAAAGGCCATATTTTGTTCCAAAAAGAAACCAAAACATCTGGAAACTCTCACACTGGGCTGACTAGAGTTGCTTTCTAAATGTGAAGTTCGCAACTCTTAGTAATGCTTCATTAAAAAATTATGCGAGGTAAGCAGTAGCAGACGTTTTTTAAGTGTTCCTAAAATGCGGTTACACCGTTTAGAAAGCTTCTCAACCTTGTAAAGAGTTGGGTATCGAACTCAGGGTCCATGAAAACATTACACAAATTTCCACTTTTTTTTTGAAAATTTTTGAAACGGCCGCTTTTTTCACAGTGACACCATATGTTTGAAGTTTCTACCGTACTCCCACAGTAAGAATGAGCGATCGGCGATTTGTTCTACATTGTAAATCTGAGTTGAACCTCGCTCTACAAAATGGTACCTAAAGTTTCTCGAAACACTTCACTACAAGAGCGTTATTTACAATCAAACAGTGTGCACATTTTTTTGGGACACCCTATTACAGGTTGTCTCCGATATCCTGTTTCAATAATCTTGAATTTGCATGCGGACGCCTTTTCGCGTGGGTGCAACGCAACGAGCATCACATAGAGGAGACTACGGCGGACACCCTTCGATAGTGCTCTTTCAATAGATTATTCTGCGCTAAACAGCAGCCGAAGACTCTTTTTTAAAATAGATAGAAGAGCTGATAAACTCTTGAAAAATCAAGCTGTTTCAAGTTCTACTAGCCATAACTTCCTTCAAAATGAACATCTTCGAAATCAGCAAGCAGCATTGTATTCAGCTCGTCAAGGCGAATCTTCCGGTATAAAGCAGTCCTCGAAATTCCGTTTCCAATTTCAGAATTTTCTGCGCGCGTATATTCGCAAGGTCGCAACGCAGCGCACATCAAACATAAAATACTCCAATAAGCACTATTGGATTGTGCTGCTTCCGCAGATTACCGAGCTCTAAAATCTAGGAGAATCTTTTCCAAAAAAGATAGAAAAGCTGGTGAATTCTGGAAAAATCGTGTTGTCTCAAATTTTGCCCACTGTAAACCTAAAATGGGAAGCTCTCCTGCTAACCAGATGTGATTTTCGTAATCAGCAGGTCAGATAATCTCTATGAGCAAGTTTTCAAAGAAATTCGGGTGATTTGATTTTTTCTCGTTCTACGCCCTGAAGCTCGCCGATGGGTTTCGGTCAAGATGTCGATGACCTTGGATTATAAGAAAACTTCGCTCAAAGAGGTTTTCGAACATGCTGTTTACGATAATCGTTTTTTGCGCGGAGTACAGAGTTTTCTAACAGAGATATGGTGAGGGAACCTTAGCTAAGCCACGAAAGTTCGTAGATTCGCCTGCTTTTTTCGAGCACCTCTTAAAAAATCTATTGCTTGCCTTTACAGGTTAAATTCACTAGAAAGCGTGCTATTGAACGGTGCATGCACCTGCTCAGATAATCGCCGGGGGCAGGCGGCCATGCGAATTTTGAGCAAGCGCGCACCGGAAAAATAGTTCGTTGATTTTTTGCGGCCCGCTTGCAGAAATTTGGAAGAAAATTGGCGAAATTAAAGACGAATGCTTGAAGAACAGTCGCGGTTTTTTTATGGATTAGCTGCGGCGCAGTGGCCGCATTCTCGCGGACTTTCCGCGAGAATATGCAAAAATTTCGAGGGCCGCACGATCCTTTGTGGAGGACCGCGCAACCCCCAGGTACTTTCCGCTGGGAGAAAGTACCTCAAACTTGAGTAATTAAACCAACGGTGACACCTCTGCCACACAGAGTCTTACCTGCGCTCGACGTACGCCCGAAAATACCTAAAAAGAGTCCGAGCGCTTGCTGAAAGTTTGGCCAGCGCTCGCTGAAAGATATTATTTGACGAGCGCTCGCAGAAAATTCTGTATTGCTGCCCGCTGGCAGAACGCGGAAGTACCGCCCGCTTAAGGTTTGGCCACGCCCCAAAATTCTGCTGACCGCCTGCAGAAAAGCGCGAGTTTGCGGACCGCCTGCCCCCGGCGATTATCTGAGTGGCTCCAATCTATAGCAATCGCCGAGTTACGGGCTACGAAATCACGTCTTCATGAGTTTTGCCCAAAACGTAAAGATTGCCTGCTTCGTAGAAATTCCACCTAAGTGATTGTAAGATACGCTGGTCACCAATTTTGTGTTCAACTCAAAAGATCGAGATTTTGTTGTAATGGATCTGGTGATTGTGCGTGCCTGAGCCGCTTAGCTGAATATCAAAGCAGATTCGTGGCTAGAGCTCAGATCTATTCAATTACTTCGAGTACAGCGGGATAGATTCCTTGAGCGATGCGAACACAAAATTGGTGACCAGCGTGTCTTACAATTACTTAGGTGGAATTTCTACGAAGCAGGCGATCTTTACGTTTTGGGCAAAACTCATGAGGGCGTGATTTCGTAGCCCATAATTCGGCGATTGCTATAGATTAAAGCCAGGTGCATGCACCGTTCAATAGCACGCTTTCTAATGAATTTAACCTGTAGAGGCAAGCAAGCAGATTTTTTAAGAGGTGCTCGAAAAATGCAGGCGAATCTACGAAGTTTCGTGGCTTAACGAAGGTTCCCTCACCATATCTCTGCTAGAAAACTCTGTACTCCGCGCAAAAAACGATTATCGTAAACAGCGTGTCCGAAAACCTCTTTGAGCGAAGTTTCCTTATAATCCAAGATCATCGACATTTTGACCGAAACCCATCGGCGAGCTTCAGGGCGTAGAACGAGAAAAAATCAAATCACCCGAATTTCTTTGAAAACTTGCTCATAGAGGTTATCTGACCTGCTGATTATGAAAATCACATCTGGTTAACAGGAGAGCTTCCCATTTTAGGGTTACAGTGGGCAAAATTTGAGACAAAAAGGATTTTTCCAGAATTCACCAGCTCTTATATCTTTTTTAAGAAGGAGTCTTCGGCTGCTGTTCAGCGCAGAATAATCTATTGAAAGAGTACCATCGAAGGGTGCCCGCCGCAGTCTCCTCTGTGTGATGCTCGTTGCGTTATACCCTCGCGAAAAGTCGTCAGCATGCAAATTCAAGATTATTGAAAACAGGATACTGGAGACATGTATAGCAAAAAATTCGCCTTGACGAGCTGAATACAATGCTGTTTTCGGACTTTGAATATACTCGTTCGAAAAGAAGTTATGGCCCTGCGTAATTTGCGTGATTTACATGAATTTCGCGAAATTCCGGGAGTCACGGAATTCCCGTTCCGCGACATTCACGGAAATTTTGCACATTCTGTGAGCGGTATTGTAAATTCGCGTTCTTTTTGTAGTAATCATGAAAAGAAACATGTCGTTTTATGATCTGAAGGCGATGTAAGATTTCTTTCCCGAATACAGTGAAGCGGCTGAGCGGCTCGCTTGAAAATTAGAAAAAATGTGCCTTATACGCGTGATATTAGGGTACTTTGTTATGCGTTTTTTGAAGTGTGGAACAAAATTCAATTTTTGCTCCTTCTTTGGTAAGTAAAACTTGCACGGGGCAGATTCAAGCATATGGGTCGGACATACCCTACATCCGGAAGTGAGGGAAGTGAAAGGCTCGCGCAGGAACTGTCTAGAGGGTTAGGAAAGCAGCAGGCTCCTAATAGAGCACTGCAAAAGCACATGCGTGTCATGATCATTGAGTGGGTGAAACCAAATATGTTTTTTCGAAGATTAGAAAGTGAGAAAAAAATCTGAGCCTAAGTCTCACAGGGAACATCTAGTGAAAAGCATTTTTATGTCTTCCAGATGTATTTGGAACCTTGCGTCGCGATTATTGAGTATCGTAACATGCTACAAGAAGGACCTGGAGAAGGTTGAAGACAATACAACTCTAAATCAGGCAAATTCGTAGCTTCCTGGATACTGCACTTAACACCAGTTCTTGCTCGAAGGTTATCCTGGTAAACCGTCAGGCTCGTTTTCATATGCCTTAAAAATTAATTACACTCTTCAAAAAATCCAAAGCAGCACGGAATTAACTTTGAGATTAGCTTGTGTGAAAAAACTCTTGTCATAAAAGCTTCTAGGTTTTTTATAAGCGATATAGAATGACAGCTGTCAGCAATTTATTGAAAGAATCTAAAGAGTCAGGAAAAGATAAGTAAATATAGTTCAAAAATAGTAAAAAAGAAATGATCGACAATATTTCTTCTTGTTCGCCGTTGCTGAAACTTAAATTGCCTTAACATCATGGCAAAAGATCAGTTTATTAGGATGTTAAACTAGCTATGATTAAGTGCTTACGCAAATCAGAATGAGTACAGGTAGCTTACAAGGGGTTGGTCAAAGGTTGAAACGTTCATATCGACAAGTTGCATACCGTTGAATGCAGCATACAATACCGCTCACATTTTTTGAAATAGACGCGAATGTATGGACATGTATGGACATGTACGGACATGTCCATACATGTACATGTATGGGCATGTATGGACATGTACGGACATGTCCGTACATGTCCATACATGTCCATACATTCGCGTCTATTTTTCAAAAAATGTGAGCGGTATTATAGAACGCTGACTCCAAATCTCTCTTCCTCTAACTGTTTTGTGGAGAAGTTATGAATAGTTTTTGCAAGGAAATAGTCTACGCGAGTTGCAAAATTAGACACATGAGTGCCTTTTTATCTTACCTCTGGGCATGTAGCAACAACCCACATGTTTTTGAAATAGTAGTAGAAGCCGTGTATATTCAGTTCTGCACTTTACATATACGACCATTTGGAATATATTAGCTCACAACTTACTCTATGAAGGTGTTCAGCAGATGAAAAAAGTAATTTTAAGTAGAATCATTTTTTCATGCTGCTTCCATCGATATTTGATATGTTACGCATACTCAGGCAAAAATACCGGGCGAGCGCCGCGCTAATCAGAGTACCCCCGCCGAGCGGTTGCATTATCCGGTCGAGCGTCCTCATTCGCCGGGCGAGCGCCCCGCCATAATAGAGCACCGGGTGGGCGGCTACATTCACCTGGCGAGCGGCTGTCAATCAGCCGGTCGGCCGGTGTACGATAAAGAGATGTCGGGCGAGCGCTTGCAAACAGTGACCGAGCGGCATCAATGATCGGTCCACCATCCCGCAATCGAAGCGCGGGATATCGATGGTGTTCAAATGTTGCTGGCAACCGAACATTTCACACGTCAGGACGTGTCAATACCTGGCATGTCAACGCCACTTTCACACCTCAGGACGTGTCAATACCTGGGCTGGCATGTCAACGCCACTTTCACACCTCAGGACGTGTCAACACCTGGCATGCCAACGCCACGCTACTTTCATTCATTCATTCACACTCACCCACTCTCCTTACATTCTCGTACACTCATCCTACTTTCATATTTTTTCTTATTACCCTTCCTTTACCATCCCTCTTCAGACTGGAATACATGAACTACAGCGAAATGTATAACGCCAGGATTAGCCACATCCAACAACGTCGAAGATACGGATGTGAGTACTGTTGAATTCACTTTCAATCCTCCCCTCTTAAACTGAACGAAAGCTCTGCTTTTAGCGAGCTTTTACAGATACATCCTGGTACAGGTAATCATGCCTTATAACTTGCAGAGGTTCTGGTATCAATGTCATTTTTACAGATAACGGAACCGCGAGAATCCATCCAAGAATATTCCCTGAGGCTCAATGGGAAAGGAGGCCGCAATTCAGAACTTAAAAACTTGCCGTCTAATGTCGAAACTACACTTTTAGGTATGCATTTGATACCGAAATAGTTCAGGACTTTTGATTTTAGACTTTGGCGAAGACACAATCGGCTATGGGCATCCAGAACTCAAAATGCCAGCCGTCAATGTCGACAGTACAAGGTGAAGCTAGGATGAATTCTCCAAAAAGTTGTAGTTTAATTTTTAACAGTTTTTTCGCAAGTCTTGGAGAAACAAGAGAGGAAAGGGCGGAAGTATTCGAAAGGATGGCACATGAAAGGATTGTGTATAGGCGGGACCTCTTCAAAGCCCTGCAAACGGCCTTGTGAGTAAAGGAGCTCTTTCCCAACGCTACATCTCCTAGACCATTTTGTTTAGAAGAGATATTCGCGCATACGAATATGACGTCGAAAACAATAAATGGAGGCTTTATGATGTAAGCGTTCTCTTTTATAAAAGTTTACATACAATTATGCATATATTTTTAGAAAAAAAAACGCGCAAGGCCGAATGATGACTGCTTGACTGTTCGTCCATAAGTCGGTATGCGCTGCCGTCGTAAATGACGATGTGACCATTTTTGAGCTTTTTTTGCGTTCCTTTGTTCATTATGTTTTTGAAAGAGATCTGCTGTTGTTGATTTGTTTAGCTTAGAAAAATTATTTGTTCTGTTGTTCGTGTAGATAATTTTGTGTGAGCTATGATTGCTTTGGCTTGTTAATTGTTATCTCACGCATTATAACTAAGTTCGAATAAAAATTCATGTTTTATGCAGTTGTAACTTCTGGATAACAAAATTCAATTATCTAATTATAACAGAGACCACGCGAGCATCCACAAAGACCGCGCGAGCATCTTCAAAGACCACGCGAGCATCCACAAAGACCGCGCGAGCATCCACAAAGACCACGCGAGCATCCACAAAGACCGCGCGAGCATCCACAAAGACGCGCGAGCATCCGCAAAGACCGCGCGTGCATCCACAAAGACCACGCGAGCATCCACAAAGACCGCGCGAGCATCCGCAAAGACCGCGCGTGCATCCACAAAGACCACGCGAGCATCCACAAAGACCGCGCGAGCATCCGCAAAGACCGCGCGAGCATCCGCAAAGACCGCGCGAGCATCCACAAAGACCGGGTGAGCGTACTACGTTTGGATTGCTGGCCGCTGAGGGCTCGCAATGACCGGGCGAACGGTCGCCGATACCGGGCGGGGGCTCGCGTCTATCGGGCGACCCGGAAAAGTGAAATCCGCTCGCGCGGTACTTGTGACCGCTGGCCCGGAACTTTTGCCTGAGTAGCTAATTTAGTTTGTCAGGTAAAGGAAACATACCGCTTGTCAAGAATGCATTATTAGAATTGATAACGATTGGTTTTTTCAACTTTTTTTGATCTTAAGAGTTTGTTGCACTCAAAGCTGGGTGTGTTGCTTGTTCCATGAGAGAAGTATGTTCCCGCACGTTTTAGCTGATAAAATTATCATCAAGAGCTAAGAAGATTAAGCCAAGTGCTTTGAATATACCCATTCCGCATAATAAATATGGCCGGCCACAGTCTTACATACACGCTGGTAATATCTTTATCTAACAGACCAGACATATTCTACTGTAATTCTGTCATAATTTTTCAAAATCATATGTACTTAATTTGTAACAGAAATGCTTCTGGGGTCCCCGGGGCTTACAAATTTTTAAATTCGTAGAAATTTTTGCTACGGACTCATTTGATTGTTCAATCATGAATATTAGTACTCAGTATTTAAATTCTTTCTTGGTTAATGCGAAGCAGCATTCTTTATAGTCGGGATAAGGAATACAGCAGTCTTATAACCAGGGTTGAGCAAGAGGTCAGGCACAAGTCCTTCAAAGACGACCCCCCCCCCCCCTGTGAAAGCCCCTAAACGACCCCTCCGCTTCACTCCACGTCATCAGGGTGTTATCTTTTAAAGAAGACCAGCTTTCAAAGCAGGTTTCTATTTTTAAAAGTCTGTAGGCCCGGCTTTCTGCGACTGCACAACTACACGTAACTTGACGGCAAGATTTGGATCTTGATAGCCCTCCTTTCAGAGCTATAAATTTCGCAGGGATGGCGTGTTTGGCTCCAAATTTTCAACATAGCAAGAAGAGGCTTTGCGCTCAATACTCATACTAAAAAAGGGGCGATTTTTGAATACTGAAGGCAAGTTTATGGGGTCAGGCGCAACACCTCAAAAGCTCAGGCGGCCTGACCTTTTGAGGGGTTGCGCCTGACCCCATTAATTTTATTTTCAAAGAAGCTTTTCTATCCAAGCTTTATGTAATTCGCTAGCTCAACCCTCGAAGATTCAACAGTAAGTGTTTGAGCTTGTAACGACTTGCTTCGGCCTTGTGCTAATCCGAGGAGTCGAAGCACTCGATGTGAAAAACGTGCCGGTTGGAATTTTGGCAGCACTTCTTACTTCACTGTTTGAAAGCGACATGAAGCCTGATTTGTAGCATATATTTGTAGTGAACATTACTTTGTTGTGAGTATAGAAAAGCTTACATTTTTCACTTTTGAAACCAAGTTAATCATGTTCGAAAACCACGTTTTTTGGACGTTGAAAAATACTAGAAAATGCAGAGGCAATGGTTTGTAGAGCGCATAGAGGTAACTTGACATGCTAATTACGGAAAGGATTCAGCATTTCACACAGCAAGCTTCCTTGTCGACCTCATGATCTGTCAAAGTAAAATGTGAAGATTGAATTTTGGCTAACTTCGACTGTGAAAACAATCAGTATGCTGTTAACGATCGTCATTCCTTTAGGTGATTGTGATATCCACCGGATTAGCGCATTTCTTCTGCACCTTCGTAGTGTCTCTCCAACCGAACAAATTGTTTCTTAATTACGACCCCCTCCCTCAGTCTTACCCTCAATACGACCCCCAGGTAGGGCGCGCCTGACCCCACGCTCAACCCTGCTTATAACTCTGATGCCATCAAGTTCGTGTTTTGACGAGTATCATTTAAAACCCCCCTATAAAATGTTCAACTTGTAACATGCAGTGTTCCGATGTTCCGATGTGCAGTAATATAAAGTGAAGTATTAATGATCGGTATAAAACGTAAATGCCCACAAATGCAATAAAAGCAGACTCTTCTCTTCTAGTACAGTTAACTCGGGAAGTGAAATAATGACATCTACTGCAGGCATTCTCATTTATGCAAAGCGCCTTCAAATGTTCTAACCATGCATGTTTCACGATTACATGTGTCTCAGCGGGCTCTACAAAACTCAGCTTTGCTTTTCCACCTCTTTTAGAATTCCAATCAAATAAAATGCTACAGAACGTTTGCTTGTTAGCCCGCGTGAATGTCAGACTCCTGAGATAAGAAATCTCTTTAGCGCTTCAAATCGCCTTATGATATCTTTGTAATCCGCAGATTTTTTCGATGAAAACTGGTGATGTGTCAAAAACGACAAACAAGCACTTTGATAGTGAACAATCAGAAATGGGAAACCAATGTACACAAAACGCTCATTAGAGCGCTTGAGCAAATGCACTCTGGATATCGTGAAAAAATGCCATCTGATTTTTGCTTGACCTTAGATGCTTGGAGTAACAGCACTGCATTGTCTATTATTGCTCCATTCTTCCATGTCTATCAAACAGGAGACACGGTGTCAAAAATTTTATTCGAATTAGGGGAAAGTAAGAGAATTTTTTAATGAAGAAATGGAGTTAGCCAGTGCTGTTATTTTGACAAAAAATTCTGAGAAGCCTCTCCAGTCTAAGTTAAATTGAGCTCATACCAGTATGCTTTGGAATGGAGGGTGGCTAAGCCACGCCAAGAAAAGCTTTCTTATGATGTGCAATGCACTTTTTGCTTTTTTCAGGACCTGACATCAAAAGAAAACCATTTCCTAGATACTTTCCGGAGCAGCGCTTCGCTCTTATGTTGCCTGCTGCTCCCAAGCAAAGCCTAAATTCACCTCTTAAAGGCAGCGGCTCGGCAGATTGACCTACCTCGGATTTTGACACAGATGGATAGGAGGCCCTCCAGGTGAACCAAAACAGCAACTCCGCGCCGAAAATGTGAACGCTGCAAGCCAGGGAGGCGGCCCAAGCGCCGCTCCCCTTACTCCTTTCGCTCCCCTAACACCTTGTTCGGACGAGTGCTCTCCGCTAGACGGCGCGGGACCCCCCAACCGCTTTCCCGCATTGTGCATGCTATACAAAGCCAAAATTACAGGCAGCAGGTCTTCGTGCCAGGGCCTTCCGACTTTCCTTTGAAAATTCTCGTCCGAGCTACCTTTTGGAAATTGAAAAAACGCTCCGAAAAAGGCCTTTTCACCCCCTTTTAAAGCTCAGATTCGGGATCCAAGGGTCTAGAAGGCCCAAAGCATGCAAAAAGATGGAAATGCCAAATCTGCCGGGACGCTGCCTTTAAGAGGTGGTTTAGCGATATGGTGACGGATTGAAATGCCTATGATTAACGCACCTGTGGAAAGAGTAATTGCGCGAAATGCTGAGTCATATGAAGTTTATCGAACAAACCAGTCTGGCGCAATAATATTACTTGCACACAAAACATGACCGCTTTGAAAACGTAAGAGCAATGTTACTTTCCATAGCATGTGCAAGGTCATTTTATCGAGCGAGTATGCTTTCTTCCCGTAAATTCCTTCTCATTTGGGGGTTCCAGACCTCAATATAAAAAACTTGAGACTACAACTCGACATTCTTTTCCTACTATTCTTGCTCTGCTCATGGAAATAACATGAATCATTGAAATAGGCATGACGATAGCTATTTCATGTTATGAAAAAAAGATAGCGAGGAGAAATTTCTATTTGATTTTGCCAGTGAGTGTAATCTTTCTGGGCCTATAACAAGCAAAAGTGGCCACCTGAACTTGCTCCTATCATTCTATGAGAAAGCAGAAGCAACACTAAGCACATTAGTTTGCTAATACCCGAAATTTGCATTCTTGTAAGATGAGGTGATAATCTTCACTAAAAAAGTTGTGGTTAATGATGCCTGAGTTTAACTGGCTCGTAAATCTGATTTCTTGAATGAGTTATGAGGAAAACATCACCTATCAAAAAATAATCTTAAACTGCTCTAGTGAATGACGCTCAGCTAAACTGATTGCCCAGTGGAGATACAGGAAAAGACCGATGAGACGCGTTTGTTTATTGTTGTAACATCAGGACTTAGGAGAATCCACCTTCTGTTTCATTGGGAATGGCGAACGAAGGGCGGAGCTCCAATCATTAAACCTGAGAAATGATGAAAGAGCAGTTCGCGAGAGAGACGCAGAGTCCAGAGTCCCACTCACCACCCACCAATCCCAATAATACAGGGATACTGTTGTGATAGAATATCACCAAAAAGTAGATTCCGCAAAAAAAAACAATGAAAAAAACGTTCTCATCCTCGAGCAATTGGGTTCGAATAACTGCTGCACTATCGCTGGTAAAGCATTGGGATTTGAAAGGGAATTCAAATCAGCGCGTGGCGTCAGAGTTGTAAAATATTTATTGATGTGTGAATAGTTTCAATCAAAATTAAGAGGGGAAAAGTTTTTTAAACGTATTTCTGTTGGAAAAACCTTAGCGATTGAGGGACACAGGCGCCAATCTTTGTATGTGTTTGGTAGTAATTCCACAAGCGCAAAAATCAAGCCGACATGATAGTAGCGGGTAATTACTTTGAAGGCAGTGTCCCGGCAGATTCGGGTCCTGGGGGATATACGTGTGGTGGGGTTCCTGGTCACCCCATCGACCTCCAGGTGCACTCCGGCTGGGTGATGTTCCCCTTGGGCCGAGAAAATGGCCCTTGAACCGGCGCGCGCAACCCTCTGGCGCGCGCTTAGACGGCCTTCCCCGCCTGTTCGGCGCGGGACCCCACGAGCGCTCTCCCCATGATGCATGCTATCTAAAGCAAGAATTACAGGCGGCAGGATCTTCGTCTGAGGACCTCCCCCAACTTTCCATTGAAAATCTCGTCCAAGCTGCTTTTCTGGAATTAGGAAAACGCCCCAAAATCGGCCTTTTCAGCCCGTTCAAAGCTCAAATTCGGATTCTACGTGGCGAAAAGGCCTAAAACATGCAAAAAGGTAGAGGTGCAAAATCTGCCGGGACACTGCCTTTAAGTTCGCCCAAAAATGGAGAAGTTCGAAAAATCGCATCTTTCCTTACTAATACCAGGCAGCGGAGTTCGCTTCAACTCTGATGAAGAATTTCACTGAGTGGAGAATGTGGGCAAAAGCTTTGCTCTTTAGCAAAAAAACGTCTTTTGTAAATGCACTGTAACGCTAAGTAAAGCCGTTTTAAAATGCGCTAACCTCATCGTTAGCAGAAAATCGAGTCCAGGGTCGCCTCAGTCAAAAAAGTCGGTTGCGATTATGTCGCTGGAAATAAATCTTTGAAGCATACTGTCTTGTTTGTTGCTTAGTTTGGTAATGTGGAACAATTTCTGTGCCACTTATTATAGAGTTAGGCGAAAAATTGTGGAGGTGAAGAGAAACTAACGAGTGAAGGCACGGTCGAAGGGGTCATTTTAACTTGGACATCGTTAGTATCGCTACTAAAACCTGGTCAAAAAACCGTTCTCCACATCTGCTAAACGGTCCTCTAAGCGAATTATGGACTTTGGTTTCCAGCCTGTTCCACTGCGCAAAGTACATCAAAGGCTCGCCCAAGGACAAAATGAGATAGTTACATAGCGCAAGTTTGAAAGATTCCTAGTCTGATGCCAAAAGCTTTTTTTCCTTTGCCTACGTTCAATCTGTGTCAAAAATCTATCATGCTGATATAAAGCTTACAGCCCAGTTAAAGTAGGAGTTAAACATGAAACATATTGATAAAAAAAAGTTTATAATTCCTGTTTTTCACTGATCTAAGATGAGATTGTTTGGGACAATGAATTAGAGGTATCGAAAAAGTGGAAAAAAGCAGCGGAATTGTAATAATCATGGTTGCTCAAAAAACTTCTTTTCACTGCTCAACACTTTGAGAAACATATTGGGAGCAAATGAAATTTTCGACATGGGTTAAGCTTGTTCGCTATTACTAATCTTAATCGTTATTTCGAAACTTTTTTGAGTTCGATTCCAATTCTAGTTCGTTGAAATTTCGAGATTAAAAAATGTTGGAGTGTCTAGAGCGTATGTGTTTTGGCTTCCCTCCAGCATGACAGATGTAAGGCACATTGCAAAACTGAAGCAGGCAAAATGCCTCTTGAGTTTAATTCTGTACACTGACCATTCAGACTCTTCTACGGATACCCTTATGCGCGGTGGAACCAACTAATTTACGCCCGTGACTTTTGTAGAATAGCTTTTAGTATGTACGGGAAGGCGATGTAGTCAGCTTTTCTGAGGTTTAATGGCATGCAGCCTCTTGTGATTGGTAACTTTAAATTGGAACATTTTCTTGCTAATGCTAATTTTTTTATGTTTTTTGTTATGAGGCTCTTCCACTAATCCTGAACTCATAAGGTGTTTTGGCATATTATGTATGCCTGGTGTATGAAAAATAATTTCGATAAATAAATTTCTCATTGAAAAGCTTTGTCGTTTTGTATATGTTTTCTTATACTGCGCAAGTCATTTGCATGATTGACTTATCCAATCAGAGGTCCTGCTATCATGGACCAGTGTGTACCTAGCTAAAGTATTTAGAGTGCTCAATGTTCCTGTTCCTTGCATGGATTCCATTGGTAAACGCTTTCATAAACCCAGACAGCAATGCACTGATTTCAAAGTCTGTGATTCACACTTTGACAAAAATTCACTTGAAAATATTAGCTTTGCAGGATCGCGGACAAATATTCTGGTTCCTTTTATCCCAGATGTTCTAACGAAGGTTAGCGAAAAATTTACACTTTTATACAGGCTGAGACACAACTTTCATGATTACTAAAATTTCTTTTAATAAGAAGCGGATCAGCTGTTTGCTATATAAGCGCTCATCTAATATACAGGGTGTCCGTAAAGTATGTATACACTGTTTGATCGTTAATATCTTTCTTCCCAGCAAGTCTTTTGCCTTGCTTTAGGTACCGTTTTGTAGAGCTAGCTGTAACTTAGATTTACAGTATGGAGCGAATCACCGATCGCTCTTCATTACTGTAAGATTACGGTAGAAACTTGAAACATATGGTGTCAATGTGGAAAAAGCTACCGTCTCAAAATTTTTCAAAAAAATGTGGAAACTTGTGTAGTAGAGTTTTTATGGACGCTGAGTTCAATACTCAGCTATTCTCAAGATTGCGAAACTTTCTAAAGGTGTAACCGCACTTTTTAGGAACATTGAAAAAATGGCAGCTACCTCTTACCCGGTATAACTCTTCAATGAAGCATCATAATAAGTTTGGGAACAAGTTAGAATCAACAACTCTAATTAGCCTAGTGTAAAAGCTTTCAGGCTGTTTTGTTTCTTTCATAAGGCAAAATATGGCCTTTCATGGCTCAAACCCTTCATTGAAGTTTCTATCACAATCCTACAGTAATGAAGAGAGAAGGTTGATTCGTTCTATACTGCAAATCTAAGTTGAAGCCAGCTCTACAAAACGATACCTGAAGCAAGGCAAAAGATTTTTTGGGAAGAAAGATATTTGCGATCAAACAGTGTATACATACTTTACGGACACCCTGTAGAAAGAAACGTAAGCGCAATTCAAAGATGTGCAAATTGTGGGAAACCGCGTGGCGGTCCCGAAGCGCGCGGATGCAATCTAGCACCTTTAATTGCTGGTTACTAGTATTTCGCAAAAAAAAAACGCAGTGATTTCCTGCGTCAGGTGACATTAATGTCGCACAGCCGTATATCGTTTCGGAATGGACTGTTTTTAAAGCAGAGCATCATTTGCTCAGCTCGGCATGCGCATCATTTGATACCAGTCCAAAGCGACGCTTCGCGGCTGTGTGTGTGAAGTAGGAAGTGTCTAGAAGTTACAATTTCTGAATTTTTTTTCGTATCTTTTCTTAGCTAACGGTAGCCTTATTCTTCCAAGCACGCACAGCCTTATGTAAAATCACCGATTAGTGATAAATCAGTCTCTAGCGTACAGACGTCCTAGGATAAACTCAAACACAATTTAGCTAATTCGGGCTCAGGCAGCCCCACGCCCCTGCTACCCTAGTCAAATCTCCACAGTCCTGGTGCCCAAAATTTTTTTAAGTAAACGTGCCAGTAGATGGTCACCTGCTCTCTACAGCCTTTTCTCCCATAGTGTCCCTCTTCTCTCTATTCTCCACAGGTACCATGAACTTTATTATGTTCACGTCCGTTTTACCGCCATTCACAGAGTTCTAAGCCAATCTTTCTTTTTCCTCCTCCCTCCCCACCTCTTCGTTGATTTCTTACTTTTGCTGAAGAATAGAGGAGTAGAACAGATGGGATTAGGATGATTGAAAAGTTTCCGTTAGAATTTTTTGTCAAAGCTTTTTCACTCTGAAGCTTCTCTTAGGCAGAGTTCTTCAAATACTTCTCTACATTTTTCGGTTCTCGTGCTCTCGAGTTTCCCCCACCAAGATGCCTTTAACGCAAACAAAAATTTTTCTGCGCTCTCCCGAGTTCCTCCAGAACCCTGTCTTTCGCTCCTAAAGTTCCTCTTCAAGAATGTGCATGGTCATTCAAAATTTTTGCCAAAACTCTCCAACTGGTTTTTCTTTTCTGTGGGCCTTCGTTTGACCCGCTCTCTTTAGTTCACCCGAAGTGGCCCGCAACCCATTACGCTACAGCTAAAACGGTCAATTTCTTTAGTATCAAAACTTAAAACTTTGATGGGAGAGATCACATCTCTTGTTATAACTTCGGCTTAAAATCGATACATTTTCATAATGTTAAATTGTAGCGAACTGTGAACTTTTAAGCGCGTAATGACTTCTATAAAATGAAAATGATCCTAATGTATGTAACAAAATGTCTCGGAGGAGATGGTTATTACAAATTTTGGTCTTGGTAAGACCAACATGGCAACCACACTTGCATGGGCCTACTTGTTTGCTGATATCGAAATCTGTGAGTGTAGTCTTTGAAGTAGTATACTGATGATTGACGAAACTAACTGGTCAGTCTTACGGCCGACTGCGTTGCCAGTATTTCACAGACTGCACTTAGTAAAACCGTAAACATCTCGGAAGCCATGATTTTCGTATATGGTCGCGGTGCACTCGTACAGTTGTGATGCGAAGGGGCATCTGTACTTAGTGCAGCCTAGCTCATTTACGAAAACACGACTGCAGTGGCAAGGTATCAAAGATCACTGCTGGTTACAAACATCCACGATGAGTCACATGGGGGTGCTTGCGCTTTATAGCGAGTATGATATGTAGAAGTGCCTGTTTGATTGAAGCATCTTGGTAGTAAGGGATTTTTCACATATCTATTCAAAATTGGTTACGGCAGCTTAGTTTGATGCTGATTTTTGTCGTGTTTCCTACCGTAGGCAAAAAATCTGTAAAGATTTATGTTAAACGACTAATTAAAATTTACCATACCCGAACGGACACCTATATGCATCAGAAAATGCTCCGCGCTGAACTGAGTTGAATGGTATACTTATATTTGAAATCTTTACTTTGAAGCGCGAATAGGATGGTTAATTGCACCTGACTCAGGCGACTGTCGCTCCCTTTTTTATACATATGGGCGATACTGTATCAGGGCCGTTTTTTAAAGCTTCGTGAAAACCACGATTTTTTTGCAAAATGTACATAAGATGAAGTCCAGCTTGCGTACATATCTTAAAACATTGACTCACGATCAGATCTAGAACGCAATGTTGAAACTGCAGAGGTGTAAATCATTGACGCTTCATTAAGCTTCTAGGAGCTCATCAGTTTTTTGTGCTGAAGAAACTGAAAGTCAGTTCAGTTCTACTTTCTGGTAAGGAAGCAAAATTGAGATTACAAAGTGGACATCTATTGAATTGGAATAATTTGTGCTGGAAAGTAGCGCAGGTGTCGCGACAACCCACGGATATATCCAACTCCAGCGGAAATCATTAGCACTTCTCAAAAATCACATTTGCCAAAAAGCATTAGCACATTCACGATCGTAAGATTCCTGAAGCTCTAGTTTTGCCAGTATCCGATGGAACTCTACGGGGTTCTGGCACATGAATGAAAACACCTTAGCAAAGCTTCAGTCAGAATGGTCCGGGTTTGGGATACTGTAAAGTAATGTTAATTCAAGTATACTGTAGATAGAGGTAATGCATAGACTTTAGTTCAAATCTTTCGCAGAGTGATGCGTTTTTGAAAATCCAGGTTTACATGCACGAGGAATACGGGAGGGCACGAGACTGATGTCAGCCCATCAAAAATTATAGATTTTATCGATTTTATCGGTTCTTCCCATTGTTCATCCCAGGAAGCGCAAACCTCACATATATAGGTTTTTTAGCATGCTGATTACGAAAATGATAGTCTCAAGTTCTAATATCGCCTGCTTACATCAGTTTCTTGATTCTGACCAACATTCTACCGCACTGTTACCGTAGTCCCACCGTGGGAAAGTAGTGAACAAAGTGGACACTATAATCGTGATCAGCACGTGAAATAACCCCAAAACACAATTTTTCATGAAAATCCAAGATGTTGGGTTCGCACAGAATGACTACCGTAACCTCACCGTATAGTGCCAGAAACTGAAATAAATTTATTTATTTTTATTTTGTTTCGATACGCTAAAGCCGTGCCACATTTGGAACAAGTAAAACGAAAATAGTCAGAACCTTACAGTAATCAACGACCAACAAAAAAAAACCACCAACAGCCCAAGTCCAGCTCTCAGATATGTTAGGAATGAGGGAGTTAAGCTTGTATGGACCTTTGTACAAATGTATCAGTAAGATGCTCGGTGGAGTCTGTCTCATGCTTCCTGCTTGCAGCAAATGTGCTCTTAGATTATTCAACTTAAGCAACTGTATTTGCGGGGACCATATATGTTGACAAAATTGCCCGACGGATTCTGGGGAGAGAACTGAACTCCGAGGTAAGAGATTATAAATTAAAAAGATGAACAAGCCTAACAAGCTATTCCCAAGTAGCAAAGGAATGGATGAACCGGACCCGAATCAACATGTAAAGCAATGACCGAAACAATAATTGAGCCAAAGTTTCAACGACCGCAAATACAGTATCTGAGAAATTACACTAGGAGGCCTTCTAAGCGATAAGTGGGAGACTGATAGAGTTAGTCAGTCCATGGTACTGGAGCAGGCCAAACGACATGCGGAGCAGCGAGCATAGAAAAAGTACGGCAGGCAAACGGCAGCATCATACGAATGATAACGAGAAGCAGTCATCTGGAAGAAAATCAGTCAAACTCAACTTCTTGAGTCTACGTTTGAAAGTAAGGCTATCTGGAGAAGACAGAATTTCTTTAGGTAAACACTGGAGTTACTTTGAAGTGCCTGCAAAAAAACTGTTTTTTGATGAAGACTTCAGTTGTTTACACCTGCCATTTAGATGTAAATAAACAAAAAACCCAGCAGTCCTTCCGTAACTAGGCCTAAAATCCCAGTACTTAAAAGGACTTAGTTTAGTCTTGCCTTTAAAAATCCTGAAAGCAAGTATTATATCGTGCACGATCCTGCGATGTAGAAGACTTTGAGGCCTAGGACTTTCATTCGTTCCTCATAGCTTTGAAGCGATTGTGGGTAACCACGACTAGGATAGCATTTATAGAAAAGCAAACCACTAAAAACCTTTTGGACGTTCTCCAGGGCCAGCTTATGCTTCCTTAGAAAAGGGCTCCAAACTTGATTTGCATACTGTAGTAGGGATGACAAATGCCTTATAAAGTTTCAGTAATATTTTGGGATCCGCTGCTTTTATATTGCGAAGATGGTACAAAATTAAGAATGCGCGAGATATGATAATTGAAATTTGCAAGTCTGGTCTCAAGGTACTATCGAATACAACATCCAAGTCTTTGATAGAGTTTTGTTAGCTAGAGAAGCTCCCACATGCTCATAGTGTTCATCGCTTGCAGCAGAACCAACATGGAATACAGAGCTTTTATTTATATTCACTGAAACTCTATATTCACCATTCATATTTGGCTAATCAGCGCCTTCGATAACCCTTGTGAGGAAATTCTCGGGGACATGTTTTGAATTTTTTACAAAAATTCAAAACATTTTTTACAAAAATTAAAAAACAAAGACATTTTTTACAAAAATTCAAAACCCACGAGTGGGTCGTAAGTCTGGCATAGGAAAAAAGGCTCCTGTCCGAAATGGCAGTAATTGAAAAATCGGCCTTGTCGTGAATGTGTTATATAAGGATTTTCGTACCGAATGCCATGATCGGAGCGGTTCGAGACCTTGCGAGCCGCCTGCTTCGGTCTCCCCCCGTGTTGCCCTCAGCGGATGCGTTAATTTCCCACGCTTTAGGCGGGGGAAATATCGTATCCTTAGGTATCATTGTTGAATTTGCTCATGGAATAGTCTGTTTCTTACATTTTCTTATCTTTCATGCCGCATTAGCGCGGGAAACATGCATTAAAAGACAAGCCAATATGATAATTTTTGCCAAACCTTGAGCTGGAAAATCTGAAAAATTGAGTGTATTATACAAGTTAACAAGGATATATATTAGGCTGGAAACTAAGTTTTGCAACTACTTCGATAACTCAACTTTCTTTGGATGTAGCGTCAAACTTGGGAGTATGTAGAGCGTAGTGTGAGCTACAACTGACCAACGCTGCTTGGATTTTGAAAACGAATTAGAAAAATTCCAGGAATTTTTCGGAGACTAATTTTGTAAGAATCTTTTAAGGTTTCAAGGCAAAACGAAGTTCTTACCAGTCTAGACCATGCGCAATAATCCGGAATCGTGTACTAATTGTTGCTAGAAGTTGACTTATTCGGCTTACCAAAAAAAGAAATAAAATTTAGGGGCAAGTCGAGATTTGACGCCCTCACGATTTCGAAAGAGTTGCTGTACGCAAGGCTGCCGGGGACAACCGTCAATGACTAAGGAGCCAGAACCACAAAAGTCCTAGAATCTTTATATATTGAGGTTTTTGACCTGCTAAACACGAATATCATAGTCATTTGTTGAATCAACGCCTCTTTCCTTGTTTAGGGTGGGACCTATTGTACACCTACGGTAATCCTACAAAAAAGCGCTTATCACGCAACTTCAGTAGTTTTCGTGATCAGCATGTCGGATAGCACCCAGGCCAAGTTTCAGCCAAACTGTCGGATTTTACAGTTTTTCCCTTCGTACCATATAGCTGTCGTAACTCTCACTGCGACGTCAGAATTTGGTAGAACAGCAGCTGCGCTTATAGCTTACGTCATAACCAACACCAACACGTTGACAAAATTTGAGTGCGCCATGTTGAATGAGTGGAGGGTTATTGAATGAGTTGCAAAACTTAGTTTACAACCTAATCGTTTTCTCAATTTCATGCTACAGTGTACTTTAGCTGCCCAATTATAGCCGTCAAGCCTGATTCCATAAAATCTTGCCCTCTTTATCAAGATGTCTTTTAGCGTGTCCTGGGCACTGCGAAAGTAAGTGGACTTACTTCGACCAAACGGATGCCTGCTATAAGGTATGCGGTAACTTATTTGTAACAAGAATGATATGATGATAACGAGTATTTTGCTCAAGTGTATAGAGAGCATCTGCAATTGTGATCGAATCAAACACAATAGTCGATCACTAATTTATCATGACAGTTTAGAATGATTGTGATGAAACGCTTTGTGAAGATTCCGATGCTTGTATTACACACCTAAACATCAAAGGCAACATCTAGATATGTTAGTCGAAGTTGAATGGATGAACAAAGTAAATAAAGAGCAAAAGGGTTAGAATTTTTTTGCTAAGCTAGTAAACTTTCCATCTCTTTTTCGTTTCTTAGAGTCGAACCTCATCATTTGTTGAAGTGCTGGCCCACATGTTCCTGAGTGATATAACTTCAGTTGGATTTGAGTTGAGCAACCAAACAAGGCTAAGGAGTTGCGTTACACGAACGTCAACACTGGCTTTTCTTGAATACAGAGCTTGCAAAGCGATTGTTTTTGGGTTAAACAATTTGCTTGTGGTTTCAGTGTGCTATGCTCAAAATACTGTCTGATAGGATCTCTGATGCTCAAAATGCTGCTGAAACAAATAAAGGATGTGTTTGACTTTCTCTGGTTCGGTACATCAGTTTCATAGGAGTTCTTAAACACTCACAACATTTCCATAGGATTGAAGAAAAGTGTAGTGCTAATTTTTTTACATTTCTGTGATTCTAGCTGATACGTAATTAGACAAAATTGCTGCAGTGGGTTCAGTTTTGTCGCTGCAGTGTTCATGTGAAAAATTAGCTTTTGAAACCTCGTAGATTTCTAAAAGTACCACTTATAACCTTTCCTTTTGCTAGGGTTAGAGTATCTATTGTGAATTACCTTAAGGTAAAGGTATCAAGTCTTTGAATACGGGTTTCTCGCTGATAAGGCTACCTTTAGGTAGAATCTACCTTAAGGTATCATCCATTCCACATAAAATCATTTTCAAGGTTGATTTCACCTTGAGCATTTACCTCAAGTACATCGATGATTACGGGTTTCGAGTGTTAATCCTACCTTGAGGTAAATGCTCAAGGTGAAATCAACGAATACAACCACAGAAGAGATTAAAAGACCAAGTTTGAAAACGATGCAAACTTCGCAAGATCTTTCGCATTTTCCTAATTTACCATTTCCCTACAAAAGCGACGTCGTCTGCGAACGAAAACAGTACGAGTCAAGCTGGATTGGACTTCTTGCTTGTCTGATCCTTGCACTGAACCCGAGTAGATTTACGGTAATGAAGCTCTCCAAATGATTCGCACAAGTTCCCAGAGATCTCCTTGCCGTGTCGTCACTTGCTAAAATTTGTAGTGTATAAAGGTTTTGTGAGTTGCAACATGTTTTTCTTTTATGTGCACATCCAGATTCTGAATCCGAGAAAGATCAAGGCATTATTGTTAACTAGCTTAGCTATTTATTAGGATTCGTATGATCTGTTTGTGAAACTTTATAGAAAGAACAAAAATGTGCTGCAAGATAAAATGTTGAAGTGAGTGCTTGTAAACTTTCTTTACAACTTAATGGGACTAATTACAGACTTTCTACAATGCAAATTTTCACGATGCCGAGTACATCTGTAGCACTGTTGGAGGACATTTGACTTCAGTTCACAGCTACGATGAAAATGTTTTCGTAGCCGGTATAGTCATCTTGTTTATGCAAAGTAAAGTACTGAGATGATTTAGTTTTGATCCAGAGCTGGCAAAAATGGGTAAGACATGGAGTGACGATTACGGCCTTGACCTGACTTGGATCGGTCTGAGGAGTTACGGTACACAAAGCAGGAACTGGACCTGGACTGATGGCACGAAAGTTGACTTTCTAGCTTGGATCCCAGAAGCACCTGTCAGCGGAAGGGATTGTGCGCTGGTATGACCTCCATATAGATAACTAGCTGGCGTCCCCGGTCCAGCCCAGTGGCTCCAAGTTAGACCGGCAAAACAAAGTAGTGGTGTTATCCCAGCTCAGTAATATTTGGCCAGCGAGTTCAATGACCTACCCTCTCTGCAAAATTTGAGCTCAGGATGTTGGCTGAAACACGCTCTACGAATTTCTGACAGATAGACATTCAGACAGACAGACACACAAAAACACGTAAACACTCTTAGCGCGTTATAAGTCGCTTCATTTCATATGATCATGTGTGCCATTGCACACACAGTCCACTATGGCGTCCTCATCCTGGATTTGTAATCGCAAAAACGCAAAAGACTTACCGATTGTTATCGATTACATCAATTTGAGGTGACTAGTAACTAAAAAGGAAAGAAAATGCTAAGAACACCTTGGAAACACTTACCTGAAGGCTTGTTTCTCCCACGAATCCAGGATGGGGACGCCAAAGGTGAACTGTGTGTGCAATGACACACATGATCATATGAAATGAAGCGAACTGTATAAGAGGATATATATACAGGGTGTCCAAAAAAAGTGTGCACACTGTTTGATTGCAAATAACTCTTTTGTGGTGAAGTGTTTTGAGAAGCTGTAGGTACCGTTTTGTAGAGCGAGGTTCAACTTAGATTTACAGTGTAGAGCGGATCGCCGATCTCTTATTCTTACTGTAGGATTACGGTAGAAACTTTGAAGAGGGTTTTGGGCCACGAAAGGCCATATTTTGTTCCAGAAAGGAACTAAAACAACCTGAAAGCTCTCACACTGGACTAACTAGAGTTGCTGATTCTAAATGTGAAGTTCGCAACTCTTCGTAATGCTTCATTAAAAAATTATGCGAGGTAAGCAGTAGCAGACGTTTTTTTAAGTGTTCCTAAAAAGTGCGGTTACACCGTTTAGAAAGCTTCTCAACCTTGTGAGGAGTTGGGTATTGAACTCAGGGTCTATAAAACCCTATTACACAAATTTCCACATTTCTTGAAAATTTTTGCAACGGCCGCTTTTTTCACAGTGACACCATATGTTTGAAGTTTCTACCGTAGTTTCTACAGTAAGAATGAGAGATGGCGGTATGTAAATGTAAATGTAAATCACGCAAATTACGCAGGGCCATAACTTCTTTCCGAATGAATATATTCAAAATCCGAAAACAGCATTGTATTCAGCTCGTCAAGGCGAATCTTTTACTACAAGGTGTCCCAAAAAATGTGCACACTGTTTGATTGTAAATAACTCTTTTGTGTTGAAGTATTTCGAGAAGCTTTAGGTACCATTTTGTAGAGCGGGGTTCAACTTAGATTTACAGCGTAGAGCGGATCGCCATCTCTCATTTTTACTGTAGAAACTACGGTAGAAACTTCAAACATATGGTGTCACTGTGGAAAACGGCCGTTGCAAAAATTTTCAAGAAATGTGGAAATTTGTGTAATAGGGTTTTATAGACCCTGAGTTTAATACCGCAACTCAACGAGCATCACATAGAGGAGACTACGGCGGACACCCTTCGATAGTGCTCTTTCAATAGATTATTCTGCGCTAAACAGCAGCCGAAGACTCTTTTTTAAAATAGATAGAAGAGCTGATAAACTCTTGAAAAATCAAGCTGTTTCAAGTTCTACTAGCCATAACTTCCTTCAAAATGAACATCTTCGAAATCAGCAAGCAGCATTGTATTCAGCTCGTCAAGGCGAATCTTCCGGTATAAAGCAGTCCTCGAAATTCCGTTTCCAATTTCAGAATTTTCTGCGCGCGTATATTCGCAAGGTCGCAACGCAGCGCACATCAAACATAAAATACTCCAATAAGCACTATTGGATTGTGCTGCTTCCGCAGATTACCGAGCTCTAAAATCTAGGAGAATCTTTTCCAAAAAAGATAGAAAAGCTGGTGAATTCTGGAAAAATCGTGTTGTCTCAAATTTTGCCCACTGTAAACCTAAAATGGGAAGCTCTCCTGCTAACCAGATGTGATTTTCGTAATCAGCAAGTCAGATAATCTCTATGAGCAAGTTTTCAAAGAAATTCGGGTGATTTGATTTTTTCTCGTTCTACGCCCTGAAGCTCGCCGATGGGTTTCGGTCAAGATGTCGATGACCTTGGATTATAAGGAAACTTCGCTCAAAGAGGCTTTCGAATATGCTGTTTACGATAATCGTTTTTTGCGCGGAGTACAGAGTTTTCTAACAGAGATATGGTGAGGGAACCTTAGCTAAGCCACGAAAGTTCGTAGATTCGCCTGCATTTTTCGAGCACCTCTTAAAAAATCTATTGCTTGCCTCTACAGGTTAAATTCACTAGAAAGCGTGCTATTGAACGGTGCATGCACCTGGCCCCAATCTATAGCAATCGCCGAGTTACGGGCTACGAAATCACGTCTTCATGAGTTTTGCCCAAAACGTAAAGATCGCCTGCTTCGTAGAAATTCCACCTAAGTGATTGTAAGATACGCTGGTCACCAATTTTGTGTTCAACTCAAAAGATCGAGATTTTGTTGTAATGGATCTGGTGATTGTGCGTGCCTGAGCCGCTTAGCTGAATATCAAAGCAGATTCGTGGCTAGAGCTCAGATCTATTCAATTACTTCGAGTACAGCGGGATAGATTCCTTGAGCGATGCGAACACAAAATTGGTGACCAGCGTGTCTTACAATTACTTAGGTGGAATTTCTACGAAGCAGGCGATCTTTACGTTTTGGGCAAAACTCATGAGGGCGTGATTTCGTAGCCCATAATTCGGCGATTGCTATAGATTAAAGCCAGGTGCATGCACCGTTCAATAGCACGCTTTCTAATGAATTTAACCTGTAGAGGCAAGCAAGCAGATTTTTTAAGAGGTGCTCGAAAAATGCAGGCGAATCTACGAAGTTTCGTGGCTTAACGAAGGTTCCCTCACCATATCTCTGCTAGAAAACTCTGTACTCCGCGCAAAAAACGATTATCGTAAACAGCGTGTCCGAAAACCTCTTTGAGCGAAGTTTCCTTATAATCCAAGATCATCGACATTTTGATCGAAACCCATCGGCGAGCTTCAGGGCGTAGAACGAGAAAAAATCAAATCTGGTAATAACTTATAATAACGGGCTAAGGTTGTTTACGTTTTTTTGTGTATGTGTCTGTCTGTCCGTTACGAAATTCGAGGAGCGTATTCCAGCCAACGTCCTGATCCCAATTTTTGCATGGCGCATGCGAGCAGCGTGAAAGTCCACTCTGCGAAAGCACAAGTGGATTCGCTGAGTGAATCCCTCAAAAATCGCGCGTCAAACGGATCCACTTTGCTTCTGGCCAGCTAAATTGGGCCTGTACCACCACTTTTTGCGAAGTTGTGGATTTTGACAAGCCAATGTGGAAGCCACGGAGCTTAGCCCAAAAAACTGAACTAAAGTTGATTACTTTACGAAGTTGGCGCCAAAAAGAATTAGTTGCATAAATGTCTAATTTACCAAGAATTCAATTGACCATTTGAGGAGATTTCTGCACAGAGATGTAGCCCACGATGATTATTGCCCTTATTGCGACTACCAAGTCATAAGAAACCCAAAAACCGATTCAAATTTGCATCTATTCTTCTGAGAGAAGTTTCGTCCACGCGAAAATACCGACCTCACGCGAAAAGCTTTAGGAATGAGTAGTTGTTTACAAATCATTCGTGATAGTTTGCATAGCGCGGTGAGTTTCAGTGCCATTACTATGCGGAAATGAGTAAGGCGTACAGAGAGTAGGGCCAGTGCGAACATCTGCGAAGCAGAGATGACGCACCGGTTATTTATAACATCATTACTTATAATAACGGCTAAGGATGTTTACGTGACTTTGTGTGTGTGTGTGTGTGTGTGTGTGTGTGTGTGTGTGTGTGTGTGTGTGTGTGTGTGTGTGTGTGTGTGTGTGTGTGTGTGTGTGTGTGTGTGTGTGTTACGAAATTCGTAGAGCGTGTTCCAGCCAACCTCCTGGGCTGAAATTTTGCACAACGCATGCTACCCGCTTGAAAGTCCAAAACGCAAAAGCACGAGCAGATTCGTTAAGGGGATCCCTCAGAAACTGCGCGCCAAACGAATCCACTTTGCATTTGAGCCGCAAAATTGGGTCCGTAATTCTACTTTTTGCAGGGTCGTGGATGTTTATGCCATGTAAATGTGTAAGCCATGAACGTAGGCCCAAAAAAGTGATCAAAAGTCCATTACTTTACAAAAACGGCGCCAAAAAGTATTGGTTGCGTAAATGGTCATTTTGCCAAGCTTTTACCAGAACATTTGACGAGATTTTTGCACAAATATGTAGCTCACTGTGTCTGCTGTTCTTACTGCAACTGTCAAAACCATGGGAAAATCAAAAACCTATAAAAATTTGCGTTTGTTCTCCTACAAAAAGTCTCACCCACGCGAAATCACCGATTTCACATAGAAAAGCTTTTGAAATGAGTAGTTGTTTACATTTTGTCCGTGATAGTCGGCAATGCTCGGTGAGTTCCAATGCCATCATTATGCGAGAATAAGAAGGGCCGGCCTAGATAGTAGAGCGAGCCAGTGAGAGCCTCTGCGAAGCAAGGTGACGCACTGGTCATTCTATATTTTGGTTGTTCATAATTAATGTGTGCGTCTAATTTGCAAGATATGATGATTTTAATTTGAAATTTTTAATTTGTAGTCGAATACAATACCGCTCACAGAATGTGCGAAATTTCGTGAATGTCGCGGAATTCCGGGAATTCGGTTCGCGAGATTCCTGGAATTTCGCGAAAATCATGTAAATCACGCAAATTACGCAGGGCCATAACTTCTTTTCGAATGAATATATTCAAAATCCGAAAACAGCATTGTATTCAGCTCGTCAAGGCGAATCTTTTACTACAAGGTGTCCCAAAAAATGTGCACACTGTTTGATTGTAAATAACTCTTTTGTGTTGAAGTATTTCGAGGAGCTTTAGGTACCATTTTGTAGAGCGAGGTTCAACTTAGATTTACAGCGTAGAGCGGATCGCCAT